AAAACAACGAATCGAGAGGTACTACAACAGAAGAACCAATCTCTGCAATTTCAAGACCGGGGACTTGGTCCTAAGGAAGGTCACTGTCAACACTCGAGATCCTAATGAAGGGAAGCTCGGCCCAAATTGGGAAGGACCCTATCGAGTCCTCGATATAGTCGGGAAAGGGTCTTATAAACTTGGGGAAATGGATGGAAAACCACTACCAAACAATTGGAACATATCGCTTCTCAAACGATATTACTATTAAGGTATGATTTTCTCCTCTCTATCATCTATATACGTTCATTGGGCGCTAACTCATTACAGGAATTTGACTAAAAACATCAAGACCTCCGGTTTCAAAGCACGCGTTGTACTCTTTTTCCCCTTAGTTCGGTTTTTATCCCAAATGGTTTTTTTCCGGCAAGGTTTTTAACAAGGAAACAATTATGTGCTACCCGAGGACAAAACCAGCAGTATTCGAGGCTCCTTCGTAATCAACCTCGAATACTGGGGGGGCTACCAATCGAGTAAATCAAGTTCGGCACAAGAAAGTTGTTTTCATATCTAATTCTTGTCGAACAGGGTCTTGATAGAGATAAGTGTAAGGGCCAAATGGTCAAAACGAACCATGCCCACGTAGTTTTGCTCGAACCCTGGCATAAGATACAAACACATGTATAATGACATAAAGGAGAGCTTCTAATTTCAGATATCTCACACTTTGAAAAGATTTTCCTGCTTCATGATTCAAACAGGATATTTCGAGTTCGAAACAATCACTCACTCAATTATTAAAGCCTAAGGGCTATCTTGCTTCAAGTTCGAGCAATCACTCACTCGATCATAAAAAGCCTATGGGCTAAGATATTTTGAGTTCGAGTTCGAAACAATCACTTACTCAATTATTTAAGCCTAAGGGCTATCCTACCTCGAGTTCGAGCAATCACTCACTCGATCATAAAAAGCCTACGGGCTAAGATATTTTGAGTTCGTGTTTGAAAAAATCACTCACTCAATTATTAAAGCCTAAGGGCTATCTTACTTCTAGTTCGAGCAATCACTCACTCGATCATAAAAGGTCTACGGACTAAGATATTTTGAGTTCGAGTTCGAAACAATCTCTCACTCGGCTATAAAAGCTAAGAAGACCTAATTCGATGGAATCGCATATAAAAGCATTCGCAAGGCATGAACGAAAGCTTCACAAGGCAAGAAAGACGAAACAAGTCAGTAAAAGAAAAAGATATATGTATAAATATACAAAGATTATTTACATGAATAAAAGCGACATAAAAGCTAAGGGCTAAGTTGTTGGGTTGTCATCAAGAGCGGTCTCTTCTCCACCGGGCTCCCCTTCGTCATCGGACCCACCCTTGCTATCGTCATCATCATCGCCATCGGAAACTAAGGCTTCAGCATCAGCTTCGAGTTCTTTGGACTTTTTTATCTCTTCGGCAAGATCGAAACCTCGAGCGTGTATCTCCTCAAGGGTCTCCCTCCGAGATCGACACTTAGCAAGTTCGGCAACCCAATGTGCTCAAGTGTCGGCAGCATCCGCTGCCTTTCTTGCCTCCGTTTGAGCAGCCTCGGCATCGGCCCGATAAACAGCAATAGACTTGTCTGCCATGACTTTCGATGATTCGACCTCCGCCTTGGCCTCAGCAAGCCTTGCTTCAAGCTCCCCGATCCTCTTAGCCTGAGCCGAGCCTTTTTGCTTAACGTTTCAAAGCTGAACATCGGCCGATAATAATTTGGCCAAGATAGTTTCCTTTTCTGCAGCCAGACGGTCGATAGTCTCCTTCCACCGATCATATTCGGCTTTGATTTGATCAACTTCTTCCCGAAGCAATCCAATCTTTTCCACTTTTTGCTGCAGCTGAGATAACGAAGGGTCAGCTTCCACAGTTTGATCAAACCCATACTCTAACAGAACAAGGCTCACCTGCTTATCTAGTTCGGCCTCTTCCTCTCGAGCCTTAGCCAAATCTTCTTGGAGGTCCTTTATAACCTCATCCTTTTGGCCGCAGAGAAGCCTCAAAGCATCTCTCTCCCCCGAGACTTTCTGAAGCTCGATCTCACACTGGCTGAGGTCAGCTCGAAACTTGCTAATGGCCTACACAGAAGGAAAAAAAAACACTAGTCATGTTTAGAAAAGAACGAAGAAACCAAGCTTAGTAAAGTCATTACCCGAGAAATGAAACGTTGGGCCTCTTCTAGGAAAAAAGAAGCGTTATCGATATCGGAGGCATCATCGACTCCAACGAAGCAATCCCGAAAAGGATCCCCTGCACTAGAGCCTCTGCCCATATCGGGGGTCTTCAATTCTCAAGCTTCTTTTAGTGCCTCCTCAGAGAAGGTCGGAAGAGAAGGCAAACGACCCACTATCATGGTACCGAGCGAATCGCTCGGGGCACTCTTATCGAGGATCGGGGTATTGAAACCGGCCCCGACCGGTGTGGCTATCATCGGCTCAGAAGATCTGGTGATCTCGATAGCTTTTGCAGATCGAACCACCAAAGCCGAAGCATTTTCTTCTTCTTCTTCTTCCCTCAGTCGTTGGACCGAGTCCATCAAAAGAGTGATTGCTTTCCTCTTCACTCTTCGAATTTTGGGCTTGGGTTCCTTAGACTGAGAGGCAGCCTTTCGCTTTTTATCTTTCCCCGGTTTCGGGACCGGGGACTTGGTTCTTTCCTCACCACTCGGAGGCCTCAAAACGGCATCCTTGGTTACGCCTGCATGAAAGAAAGTCAGTAACGAATGGAGCATAAAAAGTGTTTCGAAAAACATAAGAAGAGACCCTTACCGTGATTCTTGGCCTCCCACCTGCCTTTCGCCAAATCACGCCAAGCGCGTTCGGCATAAGAGGAAGTCGAGGCTAACTTCCGAACCCAATCCTAGAGGTCGGGCACCGCTTGTGGCATCCAAGGGGCGGCTGTATATCGGAGGAAGATATCAGGTAAAATCAAAGAAAGATACAAAAAGCAACGCCTTATGAAAATCACTTACGGTCGAAATTCCACTCCTCGGGGAACGGCAGCTTCTCTTCCGGGATAAGGTCACGGGTCCTCACCGAATATAGCAGCCCATCCAACCCTGATCCTTGTCTTCGTCGATGCTCGACATTAAAGCTTTCGATGCCCGACGATGGAGCATGATTAGACCTCGAAAGATTTGAGGCCGATATAATCATATAAGGTGATTTAGGGTAAAATCCAGCCCCCCGGCCTTGTTAGAGAAGAAGCGAAGTAAGATTACTATGCGCCATAGAGAAGGATGAATTTGACCGATGGTGTCCTGATATCTTTTGAAAAAATCGATGATCATTGGGTCGACGGGACCCAACGTGAAAGGGTAAGTATAAACATTTAAAAACCCCTTCACATGAGTGGTAATGCTCTCTTCGGAAGAGGGGATTTGCAACATAACCTCGGGACCCCAGTTGCAGTCTTTCCTCACAGCCTCGAGATGGCCCACTGTTATCGAGCACATGTACATCGACACATGCTCACATCGGCCCGGAACCGACGAAGGATTTTCGACTTTAAAATAGATTTTCAAAGTGCACGGGCCGGGAACATACTCGTAGGGAGGCGGCTCCACCGGCGCCTTGTCGCCGGACGGCCGTGATGAGGAAGCTTTCTCCTTTTGAGGCACAGCTTTCGAAGTTTTGGCCATTGATATGAGAGAAAGAAAGGCAAAGCAAGATGAAAAGTTGATGATGCCAAACGCTGGTGTAGATGGCTCTGCGAGCGGCGAAATAAAGAGAGAGAGAGTAAGAAAATTTGGAAGAGTGAAGACGTAAAAGTGGTAAATGTTAGATGGAGGGGTTATTTATAGGCTTACATTGTGGCGGTCCAGTATCAGTTGTGGCTGACCACTGTCCGACATGCATTAAATACCTTGAAAGACTAAATCGATGGGACAGCTATCACATACGTCATGATCAAGCCCTGTGAAAACGTCAGCTTATAACTCAATCGAACCGTCGAAAATCATATTGATTCTCACCACATCCTTCTTGAGAAACGAGGGGACTATCTATATATGGTCAAAATAGATTTCGGCCTTCCTACGTTCGATCGAGTTCGAATGGTAAGCAACCGGAGTAGGATTTTGGGATGAGTTCTGAAGACAGTACAAACGAGCCTCGAGTTCCAAAGACTGATCGAGGAGTCGGCTCGATACTATTATCGAGCCCATGACCAAATCGATCCGCAAGGCAACGTGAGGGTGGGGGGAAATGCGCTACACCCACCTCGAAGGTCGAATTCAAGCCAAAGCCGAGGGCTCGACCCAATAACGAGTTTGAGCCAGTATCGAGCTCGCAGACAAGAGCCGTTACAACCGCACTACGGGAGAGAATCTTGGCGGGAATCGAGTAAGAGTCAATTCATTATGAGTTCTCCACTATATATTTTTTTATTGTAAGTAAAGTAGGATCCCTCTACTATAAAAGGGGGAATCCTTGTAAGCATAAGGCATTCTCACACTCTGTAACAATAGATCATTTCTCATATTGAAAGATATCCCCTTGTGCTCGTTTTACTTTATCATATTCATTCTTCTTGCTTACTATTCTCATTCTCATAGTCAAGAACATAGATATTACTATTTCTCTATATGGTTTGTATCAAATTATATCACATATCTTTAGAACCATACTCAAATTTAACTTTATCCGATTTTTCGGGTAAACACATGGATAATTGCATTCTATTAATTGATGCAATTTGGTTCTTCGCTTGTATTTTGTTTTTGCATTCAGTTCTAGCAAATTCTGTTCACTTTGTTAGTTTTACTTTGTTGCTCTTGATGTTTCTCTGAACGAGTGTACGATGATGTGATTATCTACTTGTACGGATAATATGCAATGTTGCTTCTTGATGCCCGATAGTTACTCAGTTTTGCTACTGATATCTTATTATACATGATCCATCTGAAAGTTCAAAATATATTCTTCCAGAGTGTTATACTCGCTTATTTTTCTCCTTTTGGTTTTCTGGCCCATCTTGTAGGATCTTGGTGATGCAGCGTGATTGCTATTAATGGCTAAAGCTTACGGGTTGTTCAGGATATGACAAACTAATGTTGTTGTTTTTGTGTTCTTGAAAGCAATAACAACTAGCTTTTTTGGATGTGGTGTCTAGTAGCATACTATATCTGTTTATATTTTTACAGACTTATTTTTATGACTCAAGACTGGCTCTTGGATGCTTGTTTTTGTAGATGACATGGGTTTCATACTGAACTTTACAGGCCTATGTTATCTTATATATGAAAAGCTTGTTCTAACTGAAGTTATATATGAACACCTTTTTGACAATATTTTGTAAAGTTTTCAGCTTCACCCTCAACTTTCATCGATACATCTTTTTTCCCATTATCTAGTTTTCTAGCACTCGAATAATATAAGATCACATAAGTATGACTTCTGCCTCTCCAATTTCTCATAGCTCGCACCTCGTCATTCGTCAACACCCTTCAGGTCAGCCAATCTATTGCTATCAACATAAGGCTTCAATTCCTCATCAAGATCCCAATTTTGTGGGTTCCCCATATTGATTGTTTTTCAAAGCAGTCATCATCTCACCTACAATAATACTCAAGGGCCTGAGATTGTTTAAATGGGCAAAAAGGAGACAACTAATTCTGGACCATTTTTCATCCCTTTGCTTTCCTTTTGGAGGTAAGAATTTGCGTGACAGACCCGCTGAGCCTGATATTCAAACTTTTTCCCCGTTTTTAAAAGTTGTTTAAATATAGGCTTCTTGATGGGAAAAAACCCCTTTCTTGGTAAAAGAAAGAAAGAAAATAAAAGCTATATAAAAGAAGACAAAGAGAAAAAGAGAAGAAAGAAAACGTGGAAAAATTTTTGGGCAGCCTCTCTCACCCCACCAAGTCAAAATTGGCTGGCTGCAAATTTGAAAGAAGATTTCGGTTAGCGATTTGCAGTGCTGTCTTCTTCGTATTCACGTTCACTGAAAAATTTCTTTCAGCAGACGTTCTGCCCATAAATAGGCATCCCCTCCTTTAGTTGTAAATCATCCCTCAACTTCTTCTTTCTCTTCAATTAATAAAAAGTTATTCTTTGTGTGACCGTCGATTAAGCAAAAATTGTCGAACCACGTAAATCTTGTGCAATTGATTGCTTTTCTCTTTTGAATATTTTTCCCTTCTATTAGCCTGACACGCCTCCTAACAACTGGTATCAGAGCACAGACAGTGTAATTCTGGTAGAAAGGTATGATATTGGTGCATGTACTATTCACAAGAATAGTGTGGCACTATTAATCATCATTACTAACATTATTCACAATAGTAAAGTACTATTCATTCATAATGATAGTTCTGTTCACCAATAGTGATTTTTATCTATCTGTTGGGATATTTTTTTCTTACACAGAATAGTATTCATTGTTACTATTCACAGGCACTATTCACATTTTTTTTTTGTGAAAAATGGCATCGGAAGAAGGGAAGGTTAAGATTGACAAGTTCAATGGCAAAGATTTTGGATTCTGGAAAATACAAATAGAGGATTATTTGTACCCGAAAAAATTACACTTACCTCTGACCGAGGTCAAACCAGAGAATATGGCCAAAGCGAATTGGGATCTATTAGATCGCCACGCTCTTGGTGTAATTCGTTTGACGCTAACACGAAATGTGGCATTTAACATCATTAACGAGAAGACCACTACAGGCCTGATGAAGGCGCTATCAAATACTTACGAGAAGCCATTTGCTTCAAATAAAGTCTATTTGATGAGTCGATTATTCAACTTAAAGATGACACAAGGTGGATCTGTCACGGAACATATCAATGAGTTTAATATAATATTAACTCGGTTGAGTTCTGTTAATATAACATTTGATGATGAAGTCACGGCATTGATTCTACTAGCATCTCTACCGGAGAGCTGGTCTGCAACGGTAACTGTAGTTAGCAGTTCATCGGGAAGTACCAAACTCAAATTGAATGATATTAGAGACTTAGTTCTGACCGAAGATATTCGCCGAAGAGAATTAAGTGATTCCCCAAGATTTGCTTTTAATACTGAAAGCAGTGGGAGGAGCAACCAAAGAGGACAAAGTCATGGTCGTGGCAGATCAAAGTCAAGGAGAAGAGGGCAATCCAAAAATCCAAGGACATTTATCACGACCCAAAATCCCACCACAGGCGTCGTGATGGCACCTACTCTCTAAGACTAGGTAAGCCGATTTCAATTATATTTTTAAGCCATTTTTGGTTTTTGAATTAAATAAGTAATCAAAACTAACAGCAAAATAAATATGAATATACAACCTCCCAAGACTGGTAGTACTGAGTCACGAACTCTAACCGAATACATGGAATGATCACGAGGACCGAATATACAATACTGTTTGATTAAAAATTAACAGTACAATGAAATAAAAAGACTCCAAGGGACTGCGACGACCAAGCATCTCTACCTTGAATCCTTAAGATCCCGCTTTAGCTCTGCTCAAGTCTGATATCTCCAATACATGGCTCTGCACAAAAATATACAGAAGCGTAGTATGAGTATACCACGGTCGATACCCAATAAGTATCAAGACTAACCTCAGTGGAGTAGAGACGAGGTACAGTCAAGACACTCACTAGTCTAATAGCCGGTGCAATATGATATACAAAATAATAGGAAACAGATAACAATAAGGGCAATATGAAACAACTAGTGATATGTACAACAAGACAACAAGAACACCATTAATATCGCGCAACAATTAATAATTATAATTATACCCAATTAAATCAAATCCTTCAAATAAATGTCTTTCAAATATAAATTCTTCAAGTAAACATTTTTCAAATATACTTCCTTTAAATAAATTTCTCTCAAATATATTTTCTTTAAATAAATATCTTTCGAATGTAATCCTTTCCAATAAATCTTTTTGCATAAAAATCCTTCCAATTAAATATTTTGAATATAATTCTTTCAATTAAAAAGTTACCATGTGACACTTCATTTCATAATCATTCAATCACTGAGTCTCAGCCCATTTTTATATTTTTTCATAAATACGGGTCTCGGCCCATTTTTTATATTTTCACGGTACTTCTTGCCCATAATTAAATCATCATATTTTCCCATCACCTCGTGCCCTCATTTCATATCACAACTGCACGGACAATTCACGTGCCAAGTATCACTATCATTTACTCACGGCACCTCGTGCCCACATTTTATTTTATAATCCGCCTGGCATAGCCATATGCTCCCAATTTCAACATAAATCAGATTATTTTCAATTTACCAACAACAAGATAAATTGCACAAGTTATAAAAATAAACACAAGAAAACTCACAACATCACATAAAAATCACCAATGCAACCACTCCTCATCATCACATACCATCCTTGACAATAACTACCCTTATATCTCCTATAGCCACCCATATCCCTCCGCTCTGACAATACCAATAGCCACCATTATCGCTCATATTGCCACCCTTATCGCTCATATAGTTGCCCTTATCGCTCCACCCAGACAATTTTCCAACAAACACAAGAACAGTGAAATGCCACCCTTATACCCACATAATATCAACGGTGAAATGCCACCCTTATCTCCTCAAAATAATAACTCACACAACACAACAATTTACACGAGAAATTATCACGACAACATAACAAAAATTAATTCATTTTACAATTTGCCAATGGCCACAACCAAAGTTCCAAAGATACAATCAAGTCAATTAATTTCACAATAAATAGCCGAAGGCTCCACACAATGTGTATAACACCCCAAAAACAATCAACAGAGATAGAAATTACTCAGCATAAAGCAAAGCCTTCATTAATCCAAATTCTCAATAATTATATAAACACCTCTTCTTAAGCTCATTTAATTAATTATTTGCAGAGGGAAAATCCATAATGAAATTAAATTTCAATAATTATCAAACCAACAAATTTACGGAGTTACACAAATAATCAAGTAACAATCACATCAAATTATCATATAACAACAGATTTAACAACAAGGATTTAGGCACGACAAATAGATGATTAAATATATGCCAATAATTATCCAATTTACTACACAATATGCCTAAGACTTTATCTCAATGAATTTTGCACATATAAGCCCGAGTACGTAATCGTCACCTCGCGTACACGGCTTTTCACATTTCACAAATGGCACATAAGACTCGATGCCTAAGGGGTAATTCCCCCACTCGAGGTTAGGCAAGACACTTACCTTTTTGAAGTTAGGCCGATATTCCAAAATAGGCTTCTTGCTTGAATTGACCTCCGGATAGCTCAAATCTATCCAAATTAATTGTATAACTTCATTAAAATTCATCAAAAATAATTCCGGATAATAATACGTCGACTTAAAAATTTATTTCAAAAAGTCAACAAAAGTCAACACGGGGCGCGCGCCTCTCGGAACCCGACATACTTTTCATGAAATCCGAACACCCATTCCGATACGAGTTCAAACATACCAATTTTATCTAATTCCAATAACAACTCAACCTCCAAATCTTAAATTTTCGTTTTTGGAAGGTTTTACAAAAATCTTGATTTTCCTCCATTTAAATCCGAATTAAATGATGGATACAAAGGCATAATTATGGAAATTAATCAAAACTGGATAAGAATCACTTACCCCAAACCCACACGCAAGAATCTCTCCAAAAATCGCTTTCTACCGAGCTCCCAATTTGATTTTTGTGTTATGAACTCAAACCCCCATTTTTGGGACTTTTAATTCTGCCCAGGCATCAAAGCATCGCGATTGCGGAAGAATGAATTCGATCGCGTAGAAGGAAAGTGGCTACTGCCCAAAAGGTGTTACGCGATCGCGGACAGATTCATGTGATCGCGAAGAAGGAAAATCTGGTGCCCACGAACTGAGCTACGTGAACGCGTAAAGAAGCAGGCGAACGCGAAATAGGGAAAGGCATACGTACGCGTTCGCAGACAGAAGAATACGAACGCATAGAGGAAATGATCACCATTCCCCAGCTCACAATTTCTACTACGCGAATGTGGAGCTGTGAACGCCAAGAAGGGAAAGGAAGACCTTCGCGATCGCGGATGGAGGCTCGTGAATGCATAGAACAAATAATTCCTCCTACACAATAACACTTCGCGAACGCGAAGGAGATGACACGGCCGTGATGAAGGAAACTAGATGACAGATTCAGCAGTTCAAAAATATAAGAAAATGGCCCGTAGCCCATCCGAAATACACTTGAGGCTCCCAGTACCCCGTCCAATCATACCAACCAGTCTCATAACATAACTCAAACTTGCTCAAGACCTCAAATCACATCAAACAA